TCGAGCTCGGCGCGCCTTCTATTCTACACTATTATATCTGCAGCTTCGCAATTATATATGTTTCTTTTTTCTTTCGCTCGCAGATATGTCCCTTGGATTACCCTTGGAGTATAAGTGCACACACAGGCCGCGTCATGTGTTTCGCAGCAACAACAGCAACAGCAACGTACGCGACCCTCTACTGTGCGCTTACCTTGTTATTTCCTCGCGCGCTTGTTTATATGCCGCCCGACGCTCTTATCTGAAATCGAATCAAATACCATAATGTGCATAACAACCCGAGACTGTATACGAATGTGCCGAGTGTGTGACTGCCGTGTACTCGGGCCTGGGCGTACACATTATATGACGAATCCTCCCGCGTAATACACATCCTCTTCGAACCCTCTCCACCCATTATAGGCATACATACCCAGCTCATTACGGATGAGTAAGATGTAATATAGCCCGCGTCGCGCCACACTCGTTTTCGAGCTCGGATCCACTCGTATCTCTACGGTTGATCGCAAGAGAATCGTGCAACTAATACACAGGCGCTGATCATTCGATGTGTATATGAGGCTACATCGTCCATTCATACGTTATCCTAGATTTATACATTGTACAACGCCGTGTTTTGACCATTGTATAATCGTCTTATCTCTTTGATGAAGCGCAGAAACCGGTATTATATACGTATATATACACCGTGTCTGTTGCTAATCATGGTATAGTGCACGCGCGGCGATACGCGAACACAATGCGACTCCCTGTACATGTATACTCGCCGCGATGAAAACGAAAACGTGCAAGCGCACGTACGCTCGCAGAAGTAGAGAGAAAGAGAGAGATAACGAATTTTCGACAGCAATGAAAAGGAGAACAAAAAAAAACACAAGCCAGACGCAGTCCGTGTGCGCTTATGGCCGTCGCGCTCGTTTCGACTGCGGGTGGGTGCGCGCAAAAATCGATCGTGGACAAAAACTCGGATATACTTACACACATACGTATGCAGAACTCGCGAAATCGTATTATATGCGCAAGCCAAGCTCTAATTTGCCGATAAGCATCTGCGGCCGTGTAAATACATGGATACACGCACGGACGATTGAACAGCACAAGCTGCAGCGGCGGCATACACATATATATATATATATATATATATATATATAAGGCGGCTCATAGAGAGACAGCACACGTTGTGTGTGCGGCTATAGGTATAGGTACATGGTATATAGGATGGTAGTAAAATCCCGGGTGCTGCTCGCGCACGCAGAACGATAATATCGCCAGAAAGTCAGAATTAGAGAAGGGAGCAGGGAACCACCACCTCACCCCACACACTAGTTTTGCACATGGAAAATATTTAACGCGGTGGATGTGTTTTACCGTGTAACAACGACCACAATCTATGCGTATACGCGTCTCTCTATGTGTGTGCACACGCACAAATTCAACGAGGCCGTTTGGCAAGTCATATAGAAAGGATTATCCGCTCCCTGTACACAGATTATATTATTATATATTATACACATATAAACCTAAAATAACAAAGAGTTTCTTTTCATGTAATAGCACCTGTGCGTACTTATAATTGTTGGAACGATTCGCCTGGCCGATCATCGTTTGTTGTTATTATCATCCCCGTCGCACCACTACTTTACAGCATGAGACTTTAAAAAAACACACACACTAAGATGAGAGGCAAGGAAACAAATAGGAAAAAGTGTGTGTATATGTAAATATACACGTAGGGTTGCGGCTTGCGCATCGGATTTGCATGACATTGCTTCATGTTTAATATACCACGAGCAAAAGAGAGAGATACGCGCGTCACAAAGCCCACAGCTTTTCACGGCCAGAGCTCTCTTATATATGAATAAAAAAGTAGAGAAGAGAAACTAGTTTCTGACAGCTATATAGTAGGGCTACACGCGTGCGTTGATAAACGAGAGGAGAAAAAGAGCTAGACAGAGCTAGACGAGCAGAGAGAGATGCAAAGGGTTGCTGCCAAGTACCTCGAATTGGTTGCGTGAATATGGGTTTTTGGAGCTCGCTCGACAACGAGTACTTACTGACGTATCAACGAGGCAGCGCATCAAGAATTTTTTTTGCGTGTGACTCGCAAAACCTTATCAACGTAGCAACGAATTCAATTTCCTTGAGAGTCAAAAGCAGCAGCAGTAGTAGTGGCGGCCCGTGCTAGTGCATATTGTACGCCCTTATTATAAATGCCGCCCGACGACCGCATAGAGACTCATTATACTACGCACATGGCACATATAGTTTCATGTGTGCTTGCAGAAATGTTTGCCGCGTGTAATATCGTACCGCACAAATACACTCTTGGATTCTCTCTCTCTTTCTCTCTTTGTCTCACTATCCGACAAACGTTCGCCGTGTATTACACGTTGTGCGTCCAAGCCGAAAGCGAAAATTATGCACTATTATGGCTCTTTGCGTCAATATACATTATTATTTCATCTTAATGGCCGCGATCATTTTATATATTCGACTATTACTAAGTTACATCTGCGCACTGAGCGCTTAGACATGTAAATACGTGCGTATCATTACATTGCATTAATAACTGTGTCGTAGTACGTTTTAATTTTTATCAAGTTTTGATGAAATTTAGCAATTGCTAATTTGGTGTGAGTAAAATTCGCATGATTTTACAGCATCGCGCGGTGTTAATTCAGAAGCCTTTGTCCTTTACCTCGCACTCTTTACACGTAGCAGCAGCAGTAGCAGCAGCAGTAGTAGTGTATATAAAGCATAATTACGACGTGGACTGCAGTATGCGCGCGCAAAACGTAGCCCTGGCTCTTGCGTTCTCTCGCCCAATTACCAAATTCAGCTCCTCCGTTCATTTGAACAAACCTCGAGTGTGCTGCAACGCTCTGAAGTTTCTCCGTTTCCGCGTTAGAAACTGCTGCCGCGCATTGTATACGTTCTATTCCGACTTCTCTGCGGATTAATCGTATTTTCTTTGACGGCTCGTCGTCGTCGTCGTCGCCCGGGTCCGTGCGGGTCTCTTTCTGGTCTCGAACTCGGTACACATAAAGAGCTCTGAGAGAACTGCGCAGGGCGAGCGTATCTCTGCGCCAACACGTTTTCTTTGAGAGCGATGCGCGCGCGCGTGCGATCCTTTCTGTAAGAGGGACCCCCCGTGTAATAATGGTCATTTTTTGAATAATTTTTCATCCTCCCAGTACGTAACGTTAAATGAAAATAATTGTCTGTGCGATGAATTTTCTGCCCTTACTCACGAGTTTGGGAGGATTATTAAGCGAGCCGTGACGGCTTAAACGGTTATAATTAGTACTCGAGGCACGTGTACGAAATTTCCCCGTTGAAAAAAAAAGAAACGAAAAAAAAACATGACAATTAATCACTGCTTCGGAGCAATGAAATCTCTCTCACTCCTGCGCTCTCGGGCGGGCCCACGCTGCGATTAATTTTGCCCTCTTTACACGCGACGAGCTATTACCGCGCGCGTTCAAACTTCGAATAAGCTAGTTCAACGCCACTTGGTCCATGTGCTCCTCTCTCTCTCTCTCTATCTCTCTGCTGTATACTACCCATCCCTTGCATGTGTACAACGCGCGTGTATACGTATAATCGTTGTTTTGTGGGGAGTAAAAGTTTCGCACCTTCCTTCCTTTTCTTATACCTTTTTTTTAAACTTCGAAAATTGAGGAAAAGCTTCGGTTGTACGATAAAACTTTTCCCCCCACGTACATAAGTACATCGGTTTTTTTACCTTTTACTCGAGACCGCAAGAGTTAGTTGGCTCGGCGAAGTTCGAGACGAGTAGATATCTCCGAAAGCAACTCGTACATACTGCAGGTGTAAATGCCACGATACAATGTACATTACGGCTGCTACAGAGAGCAAGAGATCGACTCGGGGATCAAAACTCAAAGACTCTTTTTTCCAGCGCGGTGATCGCGATATTTATTACACTAGAAATGTTTGTGCACTCGATGCATAATATGAGCGCCGTTCATTTTATTACCCGGATAATTGCACATGTAACTCGTGTCTATATAAGTGTTCCGTATGGATAACCCGTGCAAAGGTTAAACGGAATTTACACGAGTTAATGCTCGAACAATGGCCCACCACCCATGCGCGTGCACGGCTCCATTGAAAATGATGTACTTGGATAAAACTTTCGGTCCCGAAAATTTGAATAGCGAGGCCTACATACGTTAATGATGATCCGTCTGCATCACAATGTAACTATAACTTATTAGTACATGCGCGAGCAGAAGCTTCTGCCATGTCGTCTCTGCAACAAAAGTATAACCGCACATATAGTCAGAAATTAATTCGCCTTTTTGAGCTATATATAGTGGTTGGTACGAAAACTTTGATATATAATTCCGACGATGCAAGCGCGTTCACGTATACTGAGCTTAGCTGAAGCACTACCAGCTTCATATTAAGCTAGTTTTAATTAATGCCCTATAATACATCTTTCAACCCGGGCGGATGGGTCTTTTGTCACCATATAATTGTTACCCATAAAAAAGTAACTCAATATAGTTCCACCCGGTACCGAGCTCTTCCTTCGTTTTTTTTACAACTTTATGTGTGTATATCATACACATACTCGTCTGCTCGGTTCTTTCTTCTTCGTCTTTTTTTTCTCGACATTTGTTCTTGTCGACTAGAATCTGCAAGAACGCGTATCCCCAAACTCCCCTTTTCTCACACTCACTAGACTCTCTTTCGTGAAACTTCGTCGACAACGCGCGCGCGCCTCTGTATATAAGGAAAACTTTCAAAGAAGTTAAATTGCTGCGCGCGAGGATGAGGGAGAGAGAGAGACAAGTTTTACGCTCGTCAAGCTTGCATACCATCTATAGATATAACACTTTTACTGCGGGTATATTCCGATACACACGTACATGCACAATGAAATACATACTTTTTGAGTTACATACATACAGTTTCGACGCTATTTTAATTGAATGCTTTCAAAATGTTGACAAACTCGACCAAATTTAACATTTAGTTTGTTGGTATTTTATTTTATTTTAAACTTCTCTTAAGAGCTGTGTAATTGCTCCGCTTATTACAAACTGAATTGTTACCGGTAGGCCCCTTAAATGAATGCGTTGAAGACTTTACTGATGTGAAGTTTATGTTGCGGTTCATCATGAGTACTGCGAGAATTTTCCGCCTCTTCAGACCCTGTATTTAAGAAGTTATTAGAATTTTCGATTTTGTGATAATGACGATGACCTGAGTTTTCATTATATTTAAGATCGTGATTACCGCCTTTACCTGCACCTATCGTAAGGCTGGCCGATGCATGGATTCCACCCGTTCTACTTAATTTGTTTCCAATACGATTGACAATCCCGCCCAAAAATCTTCCACCAGTCTTTCTAGGTGCTTCACTCTCGTTGGGGTTGGTTGAATCTTCGGAAATATCAGCCGTGCTTGATGCTGAAACTGAAATGTTGGGACTCAAATGTTTTGATAGTTCAAAAAAATTTTAAATGATGACGATTAATCAGATTACCATTGTTTCTATGAGCTTTGTTTCTTGCACGAGACAGTGTCAAATCTGCTTCAAGATCAGCTTTTAAATGACCAGAGCCCGAATCGACATTTCCGAGATCTCGTTGATTGTCTTTGCTGCGGTTGTTAGATATATTACCATCGGTGGATGCTTGGTCTCCTTTGGATCCCCTTAATTTGTTGCCAATTTGACTAACGATACCGCCTAAAAATGTTCCACTAGCCTTTTTAGTCGATTCATTTTCGTCGTAGTTAGTTTTATCTTGAGAAGTGTCTACCCTACTTGAAGTTGAAGCTGGCATTCTGGGATTTGATAGATCCGTTAGATCAGGGGAATTGAGATTCTGACGTGTATCCGAATTTCTATCGTTTCCGTTGGTATTGTCTATCGGACGAGACAAAGTCAAATCAGCTTCAAGATCTGCTTTGAAATGACTAGAATCAGAATCGAAATTTTCGATATTTCGTTGATTGTCTTTCCTGCGATTAGGGGGAATATTAGTACCAGTGGATGCTTGATCTCCACTGGATCCCCTTAATTTGTTACCAATCCGACTAACAATACCGTCTAAAAATGTTCCACTAGCCTTTTTTGTCATTTCATTTTCGTCGTAGTTAGTTTGGTCTCGGGAATTCTTTGCCCCACTTGAGGTTAAAACTGGCATTCTGGAACTCGATAAATCTGGTAGATCTAGTAATTTTAGATCCTGACGTGTATCTAAATTTCGATTGTTTCCGTTGATATTGCCTGTGGGACGAGGCAAGGTCAAATCTGCTTCAAGGTCTGCTTTTAAATGACTAGAGCCAGAATCGAAATTTCCGGGATTTTGTTGATTGTGTTTGCGGTTGTCGTAAGAAATATTACCATCGCTGGGTGCTTGCTCTCCACCGGCTCCCCTTAATTTGTTGCCGATTCGACTAACGATACCGCCTAAAAACGTTCCACTAGCCTTTTTAGTTGATTCTTTATCGTCGTAGTCGACTTTGTCTTGAGAAGTGTCTGTCCTGCTTGAGGTTAAAATTGACATTTTTGGAATCGATTGATCTGGTAGATCAGGTAATTTTAGATTCTTACTTGTTTCCGAATTCCTATCATTTCCGTTGACTGATCCTATCGTACGATACAAGCTCAAATCTGCTTTAAGATCTGCTCCTAAATAATTGAAAGAAGAATCTACATTTTCGGGATTCTGTTGATTCTTGTTCCATTGAGGACGTTGGTTCTCTTTTGTACGGTTATTTGAATAATCATCGTCTGCGATTGGCTTAAGTATACCGGCTTTTCTCAATTCTTGTCCCATCTGACTTACATACTCGCCCAAAATTCTTCCACCAGACTTTTTAGGTGGTTCAATCTCGGCTTGTTTCATCTCATCTTTCGAGAAGTAAGCTCTCCCTGAAGTTAAAACTGACATTTTGGGACTCGATAGCTCTGATAGATCAGGTAATTTGAAACGGTGACGATGGTCAAGGTTTTCATTGGGTTTGTCGTGATCATCCATCTTATGAGAGTGAGTCAGATCTACGTTAAATTTAGCAGAAGGAACATTTTCGTAATTTTTTCTTTGCTCTTTTGGTGGAGTATTTTTATCCTCTTTTCTGAAGCCACGAGAATAATTATTGTAAGCAGATGCTGTAATTTCTCCGGCCTTAATTAATTCATTTCCTGTTTGTTCTATCTGGTTGACAATGCCTTCGATCTCGTCAGGTTTGGTTTTATCTTTAGCACTGTCTACATCGTTTAAGATAATAACTGGAAGTGTTAGATCAGATAAATGGGGGTAGCGACGATGACCAGAGACTCGATTATGATCCCTCATCGAATGAGTGAGGGTCAGATCGGTATCAAAATCACCGGTGTTAGAATACGAATTTTCTCGATTCCAATGATGCTTGTGCGATGGAGAACGTTGTTGTTCTCTTCTGCGGTTATTGGGATAATTACCTGTCCGATATGAGTGAGTTCGATCGATGTCGAAATCAATGGAGCTAGGATACGCAATTTCTTTACTCCGTTGGTGTTCGTTTGGTGGAGGAGGTTGATATTGTGTTTCGAGTCCACGAGGATAATTACCGTCCTGATGTGTTTGAGTTAGATCTGCTCTAAAATCACCCGATCCAGAATACGAAATATCGGGTCTCCATTGATACTCATTTGGCATAGAATTTTGATATTCTCTTCTAAAGCCATAATCGTTATTTCCGCTACCGCCTGAACCTAACCCAAAGTTTGCGGATGCTTGAATTCCACTGCCTGAACTTAATTTGTTTCCTATGTGGCTGAAGATGCCACCCAAAATTCTTCTGGGTTTTGAAAGATCTGCAGTTACACTGAGACCGGCATTGCCATTGAGTCCGCTGATAAGACCAAGATGGGCATTAGCAGCTCCTAAGCATAAACAACACAAAAGTCAAAAGTATTATTTTCGGTTTTCTGATACCAAAACAAAAAATTTTACTATTTTACGGGCAGATTCAAAATTGCCCATAGATACAATGCTAATTACTGCTTTGATGTAAATTTGGATAATAAACAAAAGTACCTTGATAGAAATGAAATTGCCCATCGTAAAAGGTAGTGACAATAAATAGAACTACTATGTTGACTTTCATACCTGCCGTTTATCAAAGGAATTTTTAAAATTAATAACTTCTCTATTAGTGATTTTATACAATTAATTTTTGAAATTTAAATTTATAAATGTACTCATACCTATAATAATCTTTAATTCTAGACTCTTCAAGATTCAATGCCATGTACAATCATCAACTAACATTAGAGCCTTTTCTACGCATGTCATTGTAGAAGTCGTTAAAACGAAATTGAAAATTACGTAATGTTAATTAAATATTTATATTAAGAGTTAACGATTTTCTTGTATCAATTAAATTTAGATCGCCGATAACATGGATTTACAAACTACTGTTCGTAGATTGTTTTTATATTAAGATTGCCAACAACTGAACTCAGAGTTTTAATTCTCGTCAGTGTATATAATTTTAAAAAGGCCCGCCTCCAAATCGCCTCAGTCGACCGTCTTACAAGCTCTGGCCTTGAATGAGCTCTTTAGGCTGAGGTTGATCGAAGCTCGATTCTAAAACTCATCGCACGGTATGCTCGCTCTAAAGTATAGTTTTTGCCGTCGTAACCTTGCATACCGCTACTTACGTGCCCTGCGAAGCCTACTTACAGGCTTGGACGCCGTTGTACGTGTTGGCCGGGCGACCTGTTGAAAGGCGCGTGCTGTCTCGTTACGACTGCATGTCCCAACATTACATTCGACCACTTATAAATAAAAAGAGAGCAAGGGTCACTCTCGAGTTCATTGTATGCGCTGAAAATGCAAATCAACTCGAAACAATTGGTTTCACGCAGTTGGATCAACCGAAATTTCAATTGTTGTTTTTCTTTTCACATTGTAAAAGTATATAACCCAGTATTGTGCCGAAAACTTGCGTCAACTTTCCAGCTTATATAACATTGGCATTCACTTTTACATGTAAAAGAGAGAGAAAAAGGGAAAGAGAGAGAACAGAAATGAATAAACTTTTCCGAAATATGCTCGTTGCGGCGAGGCGAACGTGTGCGTAAGCTCTCCCATGGATTTTTTAATATACGACTTGCGCTCTCGATTATTATTATTTCTTTTTTTCGTACGTCATTTATTGTTTTAATTTGCATCGAGTTCGCTGTACATTCGTCGCGAGTTATCTCAAACATACGAGCCTGTAGCGCACAGCGCGAGCTTTAATTTATTTTTTAGCATAATTTTTGCAAGTACTTATGGAAAGACTACCACGCGTGCGTTTATATGCAATCGAGGAATTGCAAAAATGCGAAAATTGTTACATTATTCTTTATCGGAGCAAAATGACGACGAGGGCAGCAGCAGCAGCTGACTGCCCAGATACACACGGGGCTCGTGAAAGCTATATAATGTTATTGCAGGTTGCAATCTGGCCGATGGCTCTTCCGCGCTAAAATTTCCATAAAAAAATTTTTTCGACTTTCCATCGGGTGGTGATGCTTTTTTTTTGCAGCGCTTACACGTACACTACCACCGCGCTAAATTGCCCACCGCATGCAATTAAAAGAATTTTCGGAATTTTCGCCAAGGCCCCGCAGAGGGAGAGAGACACAGAGTATGAGAGCATATTGCACGCCATAAAGTGAAATATATTTGAGCCACCTATGTTCTCACCTCTACGCACGCACATATCAAGAGCAGAGCGACGAAAAGAACGAATATATCCAGTGTGGAATATTCACGCAGGTCCAAGCAATTACATGAATTTTCTCATTCTCTCTTTCTCTTTCATCCCGCGCGCGCAGCGGTTAGGAATATTTCATTGAGACACAGAGAGATACGTTCTGTCGTCGTCGTTCTCTGCCTACACATATATATCAGCTCAACTTGGTTTCTCTCTCTGTTTCACTTCATGGCCTCCTATAGATTTGCAGCAACAGCAGCGCGGCGTATAATATATATCTGTACCATCCATGCAGTGGATCGCATAGACGACATTGCATGGAAGAGAAAAGGGAACTGGCTCGGCTGCTTCTAATTAGCATGAAGAATTTGCATTCGAGGCGGAAGCTATCTCGACAAATTGGCTGCCTACTGCTGCTGCTGCTGCTACAGCCTCTACTGCCTTAGTCACCCATCGATATGTACAGATATATACATGTCGGGCGTGTGCGATTGATAGTCGATTGCTTCGTTCTCTGCCTTCGTGTAGCTCGATCGTCGAAATTAAATTGTCTTCTACTCTGTAGTAGCTGTGTGTTGATCCCGCGACTCAAGCTCGTCTATATATATAACACGGTGGCGAGGATGACAGTATCCAGTCGCGAGATACAGGAGTGAGAATAAGGTCCAATACCCTTGTTTCCAACTTCTTTTTCTACGTATAGGTGTCTCGAATATATCTTGGATCTGGGGAGTAAATGACATGTTGTTTTGAAAGAACTGATAAAACAGAACAGTAGGAAAATGATACATGCGAATAAATCTCTGACAAGACATCGAATGTTTTTCTGCCACGTGAAAAAGAAGAGAGAGAGAGAGAGAAGAGAGGATGTTCAACCTCATCTTTCTCGTCTAGCTGTGTACTCGTGTGTGTGTATGTTTTCCCATTGCTAGCTGCGTGTGCAGCTATGGGTATGCTCGCGTATACGTAGAGGATATCCGGAGAAAAATTTGGAACTCAGCCCGGGGCTCCATTCCAAGATTAAAAGCTTAAATTCTGTAGCTGCTGTATGCGCGTCTTCGACGAACCAATTGCGCGGAGATATCCCTCTTTATACTGAAGAGAGAGAGAGAGAGATAGAGGGTGGGTGAAAAAAAATACTCGTACGTTTGCTTCCAAGCGTGGCTTCTTTCGCGGCTTTTTTTTTTATTATTTTTCTTTCAAATCCTTCAGTAATATAGGAGACGGTTGCATGACGCTGCTAAAATAAAGCGTTAAATAGCGCCGAGCGACCGCACGCGCGTATATATGAGGGTTGCCGCAGACGCCTCGAGCAATTCTCGTTTGTTTTTCGCATTTCTTGGACTTTTCAATAGCTCGCTCGAGCTCGAATCCCTGGAGTTTTTTCTTCCCCTCTTTTTTTGCAGCTCTCGACCGAGCTGCTGCTGCGTCTCGTTCTTTTATCTGGGAAGATTATCGTGTACTAGCTCCTGAATCAGTTCGACGTCGGTGTGGATGTCTGCAAGCACGCACACAAACATAGAGATGTTTCTTCATTTAATGCTTCTTTTTTACACTTTTTTATTCGAATAGATCTATACGTACTTATTTACCTCGTTTCGAATACGAGATTTCTTTCTGATTATTTGACCCTTTGATCCCTTAGCCTCGAGTTGTGTGCGCTTTCCGGGTCAAGGCTTTCTTTCCCTCTCGTTCGCGCGTCGTGTAGCCGTGCCTCTGAAACCATCATTGGATTTTGCGGGTAAATCCGCATCAGTTGCTTTGTGTTCCCTCGTCTCTGATAAGTCAATTCCCGAGATTACATGAATATCAATTAGTTGGCCGAGGCCACGGATACTCGGGGATTATTTTCAACTGCGAACACACATATTATTTATCGAGTCGATGAAAAATGTCAATCGTTTGTGAAACGTCTCTCTTTACTTGTCCAATTGAAAAAGAAAGAAGGAAAATAATAATGAAATCGTTTTACGCCGGTAAACGATAAATATTTGTTGGTACGTGTGAACATCTGCTGCGAACGTTCGAGTGTACTCGTACGTGTAGAAAATGAATTATTAGAACAGTCAGGAATTTAGAGATGTATCGGCGGCAACACTGATCGAGGGGACAATCTTCATTACGCTTGACAGATGATAGTTTCTGACGCGACACGAACTTAGGGTGTTGCTGCTGCTGTTGCTGCATTTTTAAAAGTCAATCTCCTGCGCGGGTGCCGATAAACGATTCTCAATCCATTCGACTATACTAATCGAATTTTTTTCTAAACTCTAATACTTAATGAACAGATTTTTTTTGTAGTCTTTACTAATATAATGCCGAGTGGTAGGTAAAAAATGAAAATTTCAAGGTTTTCTACTCGTGCTTCATCGTTTCAATTCCGCGACGTCAGCCAGAAAAACACCGCGAACATAATCTAAGCGCGAGACTACAATACGTTACTTTCTAACCCAACAAGTAGGCGAAACCCCGCCTAAAATGTGCTTTATGCAACGAAGCTTTCAAAAGATCACTTAAAAGCATTCCGTGCTATTTTTGCATTAAAGGATAACGCCGAGGAGCGGCGGGATGCTTTTTACTTTCCCAGTGCAGCGCGCGCGCACCAACCGCCCGCAAGCCTTTTCCATACGCGAGTACGCGTTCAAATATTAAAAAAAAACTCTCTTTTCTCTCTCGTATACGTATACTACAATACTCCTACCCCTTTGCAATGTTTCATCTACAGGGCGCATGCAAAAAAACTCCATACATAAATTCAGGCTTTCAGGAGGAGTGCTCGAACATTCACCGAGGAAGAAAGAATGAGAGGGAGGGAGATAGAAAAAAAAAGGAAATAATCTCATTAAAGAATTCTTCTAATCGCGATAAATCTGCACTCGCAAAGGACAATGTCGATAACCTAGAAAAAAAGTTATGTGCTTTGGTAAGCTAAAAAATTTTTTATTCGAAATGCTTAGGACTAAAGAAAAATGGCCTCGGGTAAAGATAATACTCGGCTAATTAATCGACCTTTCAACAACTAGAACATTTTTAACGTATGCGCGCACGGCTCTCATTGTTTTTTTTTTTTTTTTTTTTTTTTTTTTTTTTTTTTTTTTTTTTTTTTTTTTTTTTTTTTTTTTTTTTTTTTTTTTTTTTTTTTTTTTTTTTTTTTTTTTTTTTTTTTTTTTTTTTTTTTTTTTTTTTTTTTTTTTTTTTTTTTTTTTTTTTTTTTTTTTTTTTTTTTTTTTTTTTTTTTTTTTTTTTTTTTTTTTTTTTTTTTTTTTTTTTTTTTTTTTTTTTTTTTTTTTTTTTTTTTTTTTTTTTTTTTTTTTTTTTTTTTTTTTTTTTTTTTTTTTTTTTTTTTTTTTTTTTTTTTTTTTTTTTTTTTCAAGGAAACTCTTCTCTCATTGCAAGCGTTAGAAAGATTCAAGATAAAATAAAAAAAACCAAATGATCCTTCATCCTGGCGTGTATCGGTGCTTCTCTACAAAAAAGAAAAAAAAAAGAAAAAAAAAAATTTCAACGCACGCGAAAGCTCGTTCTATTATACGCCATCATCAAGGTCTTTTTGCACTTCATCAGTTTCATTATACGAATCAGTTATTTTTTTCTTCTCTTCTCTTATGAACACGCTCCTTCTTCCTTCCTTGCGCGGCGAAATAACAATTTGATTCGCTGGTGGACTCGACAAAAGTAGTTGGAACTTTTTCCATTTGCAGCGTGTAGCATATATATATACGTGCGGACGACGACGACAACGACAACGAAGCTCGCCAGGCGAGAATAACATCGTTTCTCGCTCACGCGCGCGCACCAAAACTCGTCCGGATATATACAAGTAGTAGCAGCAGCTTCTAGGACGACTACGACCATTCTTAGAAATGAAGTTGCCTGCCTGCCTCTCGGCCTCGTATTTCGTGCGTTATACACACAATCATTTTCCGCGACTTTTACTACCTCCGGGCCAAACTGTTGAATGCCCGGCTAACTGCATACTTTAAAGTTTAAAATACAGTTGGTTATGGCATTAAAAAATAGGAAGAAAATAAAGGAATGAAAAGAATAAGAAACTTGCCGGTGTATATTTTTTCACTGCGCAGTTTTCGCGATTACCTCGACAACTTCTCGTTTTTTTCTTTTTCATCGTCGCCAATCATCGTAATGCGCACCCGCGAGCGCGCGGATTATTATTGTGCAGCGTAAAGTGCACGTGCTTACACGTGGCAATCGTCGCAACTCTCAGTCGAGCGAACGTATACAATTAAGAGTCCACCACACGGAAAATCATTATTAATAAACTTGGTAAAACTTGTCGTTTACATTTTCCATTTAATCATCGTCGAAATATTATAAATAAACATGGCCGTTCGCGCGAGAGCTAAATACAATTATTTACTCGCACAGGGCCAGCAGTAGCGACCGGCCGCGCGCGAGTCTGTTGGAAAGTCGGCGTTTCTGACTCTCTCACTCTCTCTCTCTCTCTCTCTCAGTGCATAAGGCGACAACGAAGTGCTAAACTCTCATTCATATTTGATTGCGTGCGCTGCACAGAAAAGTTATATACACGTATATATACAGACGCACACGCAGAGTCGCGTCGGTATACACACGCGCGTATATTGCGACGCTAGGAAAGCTGAATATAAATTACTTGCGCATAGTCCTGTGGAGAGTTTCCCCGGGTAAAGTGTGTGTATGCGTGCGTGTGGTGCGGCTTGCCCAAATCTGCACTATATTACACTCGATGCGAATTGCCGCTAAAGCTCGGGTGCGCGCGAGCGAGCTTGCAACGAGCTTGCAACGACTGCGGCCCGGCTGGAGTAACGCGAATATGTTGCTATACAGATTAGTTACATTCATCGTGGCGGTGGCGGCGGCGCTCGAGAGCTCTGCCTTTTCTCTCTGGTCCCTCGCGCAAAGCTGGAAAATATTACGTATAATAGCCTTAAAGCTAAGGAAAATCCTATTAATTCGCAAGTTGGTATTATAATCGCTTCTTTCATTTGTTAAAATATAATACCCTCGTGAGGAGGAGGAACAGCAGTAGCAGCAACAACAATCACGGCCACGATGCGTCTATAGAGTTTTGACGTGTGTTTCGCGCCAAGCTTGTAGCAATAATTCCCGCTTGCACGATTCCAGTCACGTCTATACCTATCGACAGCTGCAGCAGCAACAGCAGCAGCCTTGATTCTCGCTCGAATCTATATAGATACATATCCTGTAGATGCATATATTATACGTATTATACGATAACCTGTATACACAAGTGATCTGTTTTGCGTAGAGAGAGAGAGAGAGAGCAAATTACATGGTCCAATCATCCGAAGTGAGATAGAATATGTACATTTTACGATCTCTGTGCGGCAGTTTCCTCATTTGCGTGTTGCTGTCCTCTTTTTCAAAGTACATTACGCGCGGCGATAAAGCTCGAGCTCGAAATTAGCCATTCCAGCTATGAATTTTTCCACGCAATTATCGAGGACACAATCGAGTCGGCTTTCGAGAATTTTCCTTTTCCATTTGAATTCTTGAAAAATTCCATAGATTCCTTGGTAAAAGTGTTTTGAAACGGCAGGTACAGGGGCACAAAGAATGTTTTGAATATTTTCATGTGCACTATTTTGAACAACAACATGAAACATGTACGTCCGCACTAGTCGATACTGCGGCAAAGACTATACGCAGCGGGAGGACGGTGCCGGCGTTCGACGGCTGCACTAAATAATAAAAAAAAAAGAAGAAGAAGAGCGAGAAATAAACACGATTGAACGCGCGCACGAAGGTGGAAGGTTGCCCAGAGGCCATCAAGCGAGAGGATATCCCGCATTATACGTGCGCCACAAACGTGTCATTGTGTGAGTGTGCGTGAATAAGCGAGAGAGATCGACTAATGAGGCCTGAGGTTTCTCTCTCTCTCTCTCTCTCTCTTACACTCTGGGCTGCATACGAGCACGCATATTATTATATCTACTTGAGCCCTGTACTCCCCCCTCGCCTACGTGCAGTACGTGAGCGATCGTGTTATTTCTCCTGCAAGCTCGGTGATGATCTTTGCGACTCGCACTCGACAGTATATTGCGCATCGCTCGAGCCGCTAGGATCGATTCTTGCGCATCCGAGATTGGGGATTTCCGTCGATCGTTTATTATTGTTATCATACACACAGTTTTTCTTGTTGCGTTGCGGATTGTGGGCACGATTCAGGTAAGTCGATTTATTTTTCAGAAATTCGTTCGTGTTTCGAGCTTGTTATTTATTTTTTACATTTTTATCTTTCTCTCTTGCACGTTGCACAGATTTTACGTGAAATATTTGGTCCAATGAGAAAGGGAATAACTTGAAGATTTTTTGCTTGCATAACGCAAAAAGCTTTTCGATTTCAATCTTCCACTGCCGATGTCAACTAGTCAAGGATCAATAGCATAAAAAGCAAATTCTTGAACGTATATCCGTCACTTTTTTTCGAGCCGAAATGAAATCGATATTGTGCTTATTTTTGGTAGCAGTTTCAGCCATATGTTTCGTTGAGGTATTATTTTGTTTTAATCAATTTTTTCGATGCCAGAGCTTCATTGAATCGTTTGAACCAAAAAAAAAATGAAAATATTTTCCAGATCAACGCGGAGAGACCGCCGATCTGCCGCGCAGGTTCCGTCGCCTACTGCAAAGACATGCAGAGCGCCAAAGTTTGCGGAGTACGTATTTACAATCAACAAAAATTTATAATTTTTTATTATTGCAGCTACGCGAGGGCACGAAAAATATAATCTAAATTCGAGCACTGGAAATCCTCCTGGTACGATACGTCACAGTCGCTCTCGAAATGGAGGACGCCAGTTTGTTAAGTGCCTATTTTTCTATACGCGCGATACACGTGATTGATGATTTTAAGTTGTAAAATACACTCACGCGTTGATGACCTGCATGACGCGTTGGGCACTCTATTCGAGAGAGATGCCACGATGTACTACATATACACGTCGGCTGCAGCGCCAATTGTACTTAGGGGATCCAGATCTAGTTTCGCAAATTGTTTGAATGTGCACTTTATAAACGTGGCGTTTATTAATCCTGGGCACACACTCGAGCCGTGTGTGCGTCCAGATTACGATACTCTATTTTTGTCGTCCGGTTTCTTTTGTTCATTCGATTGTGCCACGCGTAGTAATAGACGCTAAAGTCTTCTTTTCTTTTATGTCAAGAGGTTCTATCTCTGATCCGTTATTTTCTTTCTTTCTAGAAATTACGTTTCTGCCAGATGGTCTGGAAGCCGCCGGCGGGTTACAAAATCATCAAAAATGGAAATCACTACGAAGTATTGAATCCGAACATTGGCTTTTTCCACGTCGGTTGAAGACAAATAAAATAATAATATAACCATGCAAATATTGTCGCTCACTTATGCAATCATCATCTTTGGTACTGATTTTAACTGATGTTGAATGTAGTTATTATATTTAATCTTCTCACCTTTATCATGATATTTAATGAATAATTTTATATATCAAAATAAATCAAACATACGTAAATATTTATTATCAGTAAAATTCAATTAGTAAGTCATCCTTTGAGCAAAATTTATTTGTAAATAACATAAACATGCAAATAAAAAGCTTCAATAAAGTTTGCGTTTACTTAATCAAATGAGACACAGAAAATGTATAATTTTATCGTTAGCCAACCCTTGGGCCATTTCGATTTCGCCTTCTTCTTCATTCAACGTATAGAGTAACTGTGCATTTTTATTTCCATATCCAATCATTATGTAACAAGAGAAAAGCCATGCACACCCGCGGGTGGTAATTTATTACTGATTGAAAGCGGTTAATCGCTGGGAAACGTATCTTGTATACTATTTTTTTTTTTAATGTAAATTCGAGAGTAACGTGAAATCTAGCCAAAGCACGTGTATCAAATTACTTTAGAATCTCTGTTCTCTATACATAAACGTGCCCATATGCGCACTCTTTAATTTAGACGCTTATTAAATAGTAGTATTCGACTCTTGCTATCTCTCTACCTCGATTAATCCCAATCAATACAAATATCACAAAGTACAAGCTCCGGCCCGCAAATCACCTTTGATGTTCGAGATTTTCAACAATCTCTGGCAGCACCGCCGCATGGCCGTATGTATTTATATTCGTTTGTTCATGAAACCAAAATAGGTTGGGCAAATTGATATTCGACGCTGTGGGGGTAGTTAGTGTCAAATCATTGGTTTCAGAGAGCAAAGTTTGATCAAAGTTCGTTGGACAAGAGGGAGAGGGAGAGATAGAGATTTTAGGGTTTAGCGAGTTGCGTATATGTATAGAGGTAGCTCGGTGAATTGCTCAGCTGAATTCTGATCCGTTTTGGTATGGGAGAGGATTTATTAGATTGTTCTCTACTCTCCATCTCCCTCGCTCTTTGCCCGTAGTGCAGTGGATCGAAATACTATTGATAAAAGTCCTGATATTTGATTTTGGATCCTGCAAAGTTTTAGACTCATGTAAGTTATAAGGCGATTTTTAAACTAGAGTATACAAACAAATATTTTATAACACGTTTCCTAAAATTTAAATAAAAAGTCTCTGAGTATTATTAATTTTAAGACAACATAAAGTTTTTCATAGAAAAATTTTTCATCAGTTTGCTTTAGGCATTTGAAAGGGTGAAAACGCATCCCCTTAGGAGTTCGTGTTGCAATCTAAAACAACACATCTCGTAATAATTTTATAAGCTTTGCAGCACCCACAATAAAGATATAATTTCAATACTTCTTTTATAAATTAAAACTGTAAAATTAAAACGCTTCTTTTATTAAAAGCACGAAGATTTTCACCTCATCACGATAATTTTTTTTTTTACATCACTGCGACCTAATTATGAGTACTTTCATTACTTTTAATACATAAGATACACGTGCTTGCAGTTTTTTCAAATCAACTGTTCGTCGAAGTGACCAATTTATGACCATCTGACAACGCCCTGTTTAATTCTTACCTGAATGTATACTACGAGATATGCGCACACATGAGTGTTTATGCGAGCTATTTTTTACAGCCCTGCTGCATAAGGAATGAACGAGAATAGAGCTTGTTTCAGTAAAAGAAACGTTTCGTTGGAGCCAACTCGAAAAAAAAGGCTAGAGGCTTTTTCAAGTTTTCCCGGTTTATAAAAGTGTACTCTACGTATCATTACTGCTACTTCAATGATATCCCGAGAAGTGCGTGAAATTTTCACGGCAATGTCTTTATGCATCCTCGAGTGTATGATGATTACTCCCAAAATATACATTTTGTGATACATGTTTGTCGTATATATAGCGAGACAATAGCACTTGTTTAAAACGTTTGAACCATATGTGCGCAAGATGCGTGTCTCAAGTTTGAAAGTATACTTCGTTCGATGTCTTTTTTACATGAAAAAGAAATCTTTTCTGCATCAAATGTTTACGCGCATACAAACTCGACGCGCATCTCTATGCAGTGGGATTGAAGTAGGTTAATACGACGATAGCGAAGTGTAGAGAGACACATACACACATACAACGAATTTATCTTTTATACACACGCGTGATGTTTATTAAACATTTATGTGTGTGTGCCGAATGAAATTGTCTCACGAGACAATTATTCAAATTGGATTAAAAATTCAGCGACAAACAGCACGCGAAAGTATAAGTAGGTCAAAGTCTATGAACCAGGGACTGAGTGAAAAGCTCGCATGTGCATAAATGCGTTTCTTAATTCCATTTAAAGAAATCGAAATGTGCTTAGTGCTCAGTGTTTAAAACGCATATCCTTGTTAATTATCGTGATAGTCGCAAAAAATTTAAAAATGAGAAATTAACCTGAAAACAAATGTTAAATAAAAAAATTATAGCTTTAAATTAAAATACAACTATGTATAACTACGTTTCTTAGACTCATGTCGACGAAACTTTCAAGTCTATGCTCATACGTGAGCTTACTAGTCAATAACAACAATGTATATTATTGTTCATCTTTGTTACGAGTGCGAATTAAAAGTCAATGATTATCAATCATTCATATTTTCTTTTAAATTTAACGGAATATAAGGAAGATTTCATTTTAAAATTCTCAAAAAATTCTCGAAAAAAGTTGATTGGACCTCAAGGGGTGTGAATGTTATGTGTTTTCTAATTTAATCGGTGCATCCATTCTATTTATTCGCAAACATTACAAATATGTGCGACATTCGTCGT